TAAAAAAAAATTTTTTTAAAAAGAGGAAATTCCTTTATATCCCCAGAAGATCCCATCTCATATAAAGTAGTGTATCCTACCTTGAGAAGGGGATATGTTGGATTTGCATGCCACAGCCTCCTTTCCATTTCCTTAGTTGCTGTCAGCGGATGAGGGATATAAAACATTGATGGGAATTGGTTTGGGCTGGGAGAAGAGTGAAAAGCAGAAGGAGGAGGGTGGGATGTGATGCACCCCAGAGGTGGGTTGCCAAATATTTTACTACTGGTTTGGGGGCGCTCACACATGCGCTTACGTGCAAGTGCAACACTTCTGCGCATGCGTAGAAGCATCCAGGCAGGTGGGCAGAGCCTCCCATTGCCGCTACTTCCAGTTCGCCCAATCTGGGCCAAACCGGCAGCAACCCACTTCTGATGCTCCCAAAGGAAAATGAATGGTTTCTCCTTTTCTCCAGTCACAGAGGACCTTCCCAGACAATCAGCCTATGCCTGTGATGGTGAACCTATGGCACACATGCCAGAGGTGGCACGCAGAGCCCTCTCTTCTGGTACGCACACCATTGCCCAGGTTAGATCTCCGTGGCGTTTCTTTCATGAGCTTTTGTTTCCCTACAAATGATGAAACAGAAGCTTACAAAAGAAAATGATCTTACCTCTTGCCATGGTGCCAGTGTTGGGATGGTCTTTGGGTCTCTGCTGCACATGTCTGCATGTCCGCACACATGTCTGCGCATGTTCTTGCATGTGTGTGCACAGGCCTGTGCGTGCACATTTTTGCATGTGCGCACCATTCAGTTTGGGCATGCACATGCTGTTTGGGTACTCAGTGTCTAAAAGGTTTGCCATCACTGGCCTATGCAACAGGTTCACAGCCTTGGGGCTTTGCATGTACATGTTCCTTGGTCCCTGATACTTATTGCATAATATACTGGTATCTTTACTAACCCTGAAGAATTCCAAAGGGAATTGCACATTCCTTTCTAAACTGGTTGCCCTACTTGGGCCAATATAGATGGTGGGCTGCATGTCTCCAGAGCCTGCCTCACAGTTTGTGGTTTCAGAACTAGAATGACCTTTGAGATGTCATACCACCTGACTGAAAATGCATCCAGGTTTTTCTACAGCCATAATGGTTTCTATGGATTACTATAGTGTGCAATGCTGCTTGAGCATTTCCTAACTCTGATAGGTATTTGTTTTATTGAGTTGCAAAGTGCACCTTCATCTATTTACATAAACAACAATTTGAGAACATCTACGATAAACATAAAATCATTAAGACGAAACTTTAAAACTGTGAATTAAAACAAAAATGAAATAAAAGATGACTCCCAAACAGGGATACACTCTGGAACAGCTCCATCTTCAACATGTTCCTGATTGCAGTCAGGGATGTCATCCATAGGAAAGTGAATTGATATTCCTGCTTTCAGCTTCTATTTTCCAATGATGGGAATCCATCATTTTTTCTAGGCCAATTCAGCAGCAGTGCATCAAAACCAGCATTTCAATTGCAGCTAGAAGTTAATTGGTGGCCAATACAGGGCCCATACTATACATGTAATATGTTCCCAATGATGGGAATGAGATGACCACTGTATTTTGGATTAAGTCAGCTTCTCATGGTCTTTAAAGGCAACCCGATGCCAAATACCTTGGAGCCCTCCAAAGGGCATGAGGCTGCTGTAACATCTTGCCTAAAGCAAGTAGCAAGAGAAATTAAACAAAATATTGCAAGACCTCAAGGAGAGGGAAATAGTCCATGCATATGACTTACTCCTTGCTTACGGCTTCTGATATATGATTGGGGAAATTTTCAGATTATAAAATCAAAAGTTTAAACTTGTCACTTACTGGCGTCACAAAAGTCTCTTCTTGGTTAATTATTATTACTCTTACCTTTCAACCTTCTATGTTTTTTTAAACCTCCCAACACAGTTTTGGGATTTCCTGTTAAATTCCCATTCCAATATTACCCAGATCCCTCCCTGATTAGCTTTCTCAAGCACTGTTAAGGTAAACTAGAGGAATGTACTAGAAAATGTTTTAAAAATTCAGGGAGATATTCAGAAATATATCTACCTTGAAAGTAGCCCATACTGTAAGGCACAGTTGATCACAAAGCTAACAGACAAAAAAAAGTTTTAGTTTAGTATATAGATACTATCCATATATTAATCTTCAAAGGTTATATTGAAATTAACAAAAGTATTTTGTTGTGAGCCACGGTGGTGCAGTGGTTAGAGTGCAGGCTACTTCTGCTGACTGCCGGCTTCCTTCAATTTGGCAGTTCAAATCTCACCAGCCTTCCAGCCTTTTGATGTGGGTAAAATGAGGGCCCAAATTGTTGGGGGCAAGATGCTGACTTTGCAAACCACTTAGAAAGGACTGTAAAGCACTGTAAAGCGGTATATAAGTGCTATTGCTAATGACAACTATGCTTGCTTCTTATGCAGGCCAATACAGTAGGCATATCTGAAACTAGAAGGGGTTAAGTTCTTTATATGGAAAGGTTCTGGAAAGGAAAGCCAGAAATGTTGAACTATATGCTCTTTGTCTTCCTCAAGATCTGCCATTTTGAAAACATTGAGGAATCTGATAAGGAATCTAGTATTTGGTAATTTCATTTTATAAGGCAAAAAGTCATTAAAAAAATTCCTTGGTCAACTGCTGATGTTTGTTTATACTTTTTTGTAGAGGGAGACATCTTTGAATATCTCTCAGAATTTTTAGGAACTTTGCCAGTGACTGGTAATGAATCCGGTATCACTACAATGATAACCAAATGGGTTATGAATTATCTGGTATTAAGTAAAATTAATTCAGATAGTTAAAACACATTTACATTTGTCAGCTTGACCTCCCCCCCCCCCCAATCCTGTGTCAGTACAACTGTTAATGAGAGCAAAGCTATTATTTTCTTGTGCAATTTTGCAGTTCTCCAGAGCTTGTGGGTGGTTTGTTTGCTCACTGGTGATAACACTTGCTTCATTCTACCTCTTGCCTCTGGGTTTAGTGTGTTCTAGGTGTCCGCCCAGAGTAGAATGCAACCATGTTAGAAAAAGCTTTGGTTGCAGACTAGCCAATCTGCTATCATTTGCTTTCACCTCCCAGCTTTCAAAAGGATTTGAACAAGTGTGGAATATAGCACAAAAGGCAATTTTGTAAACAAAAAACACCCACTCAGATTAGATACTTCATTTTTGAAATGGATCAGACAATTACTGTAACACAGTATGAATTAAACACATGAGTGTACAGGGTAGATGGGTAGGCATTATTTTTTTATTTCATTTTGTATGAAGAGAATTTTTATTGGGGATCTGCCGTAGTTCTGAATTGGACGTTACAGGTAGTCCTTGACATACAACCACAATTGAGACCAGAATCTTTGGTCCTTGAGTGAAGTGAGACATCACATGACTGCTTTGTTCAAAAACTGCAATCTTGGGACTCTTGGTTGTCGTCATTAAGCGATCTCCTGGGCCGTTAAATGGGGTGAAAGAGCTGCCAGCTAGAGGGACTTGACCTTGCATGAAGCTGAAACCCTCCAGCAGGTACAGTAATCCTTTTGCTCTCAAAGAGTTGGCCGCCTGAGGAACTCTGTCATGTATGAGGCCAAAACTTTCCAATGGGCTGCTTTTTTGCTGTCAGGATTTGGGCACACAATGAAAAGATATGAAAAAGCCTCTGTTGGCAGGAAATCCCTAAAAGGCAGATCTCAGTTGGCCTCTGCCTCACTTCTCACAGTTAGCATACTTCAAAGATAGTTTAGGAGCCCAGATCTAATCCTAATCCTAGGCCTAAAGAATGACACATTTTATAATCTATTGACCTTTACTTGACATATAAATAGGTAAAGAGTTTTATAATCTTTTGCCAGAGACTTATTTGGCTTTACTTAATACTCAATTTAAAAAAACCCACCTTGATTGCAAAATAAAGAAACACACCTTCTTCATTTCCCAGCATGAGGGATGATACAATTTTGGGATTATGCACTGAGAGTTTGTGGCTGTATATAGTTTCTGCTAAGCAAGAAATAAGAGCATGAGTCCACTGGTTTCAAAAAATCAGAAAACCCCCCAAATAAAACAGGAAACACTTGCTTTTAAAAAAGGCTAAAGGCAATTAGAGTTTTCTGTGTTAATGCAATGACTTTTAAAAGAATGGGAGGAGGAATTGTTCAGGGTATAAATAGCATAAAGTCAATTGTTTGAATAAGAGAAACATGGAAGGGTTTTTTTTTAAAGAGAGAATGCAGGCCCAG